GCTAACCACTGAACCACTCAAGTAGATCTCTTTCTACAAAATCATAACAAGAAAAATTTTATTTTATTATTTTATACATACACTGTAATCTCTAAAATTAGCAATCTAATGCAAAAGTGTGTCACTATTTACAGTAATATTAGAACAACACACAAATATTATTTTACAGATGAAAATTGAAAAATATAACTATACTGTATGCACATATATGTAAAAATCTATCCATACAAACAGGCATCATACTTCAGCAAAAATGTATTAAACAATTCGTTTAACTCAAAACATGTACATATGTATCACAGTGACACAGTACATATACACACACAATAGGGTCAAATTAGAGGCATTATAAACACAAGTATGACGCCATAATTTTGTACAGTGTATTTATATTACAGTACAAGAATAAAACAACAAAGCGGAAATTTGACTATAAAATAACACGATAACTGTAATGCATTGTAGTATACCAACCTTAAATACTGCGCTTGTTTTCACGTTGATGATACACAGAGATTTAACGCCATCCAACTTAGAAAGAAGAGCCTCGCTATTGGGAATATAAATTAATTTAAACACAATTCCTTTTCTCAGACGGATTATTTGTAAAGCTAAAATGACAACACGTCCCATGCAATTAAAAAAAAGGTAAACTTGATATAGTAAAACACAAGTCATAATGATGATCGCAACAATACAGCAATAACATGCTGTTTTCACAAAATATCGCAGCCTGACATTCTTGTCGTTCGAAAGCTTCCATATTGGTTTTGTAGTCAGAGAGATGTTCACTCCTCGACAGTCAACAGTCAATGAAAGCCACGCGTGGAATTAGGCGCTCAATACCCATGATGCTTTGCGGCCTGCTGTCCAACCTCCTCTGACTGATGCGTGAATACATCATTTGAAGTATTCATTCTGACTCCAATGAGGATATTATCGGTTTGGTTGATTCATTTTAATCTGTTTTCTGTTTTTAGAGCTACCATCTTGGGCATTTTACTGGTTGAGACCAACCTCGTTCCCAGGCTCTTCCCTCTTGAGAAGGAAAAACCCTGGTCGGAGCTGGTCACGTGGCTCACAGAAAATTAATTGCCTAAGGGGGTGTGTTATGAATATGTAATTAATTTATTCTAAAACGCGCGAAAATTATACTGGCAATAACAACACAAAATAATCGCGACAAAAATATCGCTTAAACTAATAATCTACGTTACACTCCCGGGGGTTGATCTCCATCAGGTGATCAAAAGTCCAACAAAATTTGAATGTAATTATGTTAAAATTAAAGAGTCCTTGCTCATATTACTTATAACTGTTCGTACGAATATTAATACTTATCTTAATCTAACTTCTCGTTCAAGTGTTTAACTCGTGTCCGCGCATCGAACCTCTAAAGGTATGAGATGCTGAATAGGTCTCTGTAATATAGTAGTTTTCCCATGTCCTGGGGCAGTAAGAACGGTAATCCTCGCTGCTCGAACTACTCCATCTTTGCCTTCAAGTAACTCGGTAATTTTAGCTAATTTCCAATAACAACGAGCCGTAGAATCGTCCTTTAAAATCACCACTTCGCCGACTGATATATCACTTGAATTTCTTCCGACACTTGAATTCTTTCTTGCACTTTCGCGTAATCCCAAAAGATACTCTCTACGCCATTGTCGGGTAAAGTTTTGCAGCAATCTGTAATGGTACCTTATTCTCCGCGTCAAGGTTTGGTATGTACTGGACACATTCGAATACCGTTGATTCGGTGTCGTTGCTATATGCCGTCCGTACACCAGGTCCGCCGGTGTAAGAGGATAAGATAGACCTTCGTCATCTGCGTACACATAGGTCATGGGCCTGTTATTTAAGAGTGAATGTCAGTAAAAATCGAACATATGAGACATTTCGCGGCCACGACTGAAAAATCGATTTTGCTCAAATTTTGCCCAGATATACCTTATTATATCGGAAAATGCACCATATATTTTTTTAGGTCAAATACTTTTTTAACTTTGAGAAAATGCCGTTTTAACACGACCACCCTAAATCGCCATTTTTTCTGGGAAAATATGCGCTGATTTTACAGATAAATTTCACGACGACAACCGTTTCTAATCGATCTAAAACCCTAAAAATCTTGTTTTCGGTTATTCAAAGGACGGTATACATGACTTACAGGAAATCTGAGTTACTTTTAGGAATAGATATAATCGTAGTTTTGGAGCACACTATCTTACTTCATTTACGATACCCTCTTAACAAAACCGATTTTCACCATGCGATAAAGCCCCAAATCGATCATGCTTCTACTAGTTGGCTCTTTAATAAGCAAGCTTTCAATTGACGTAAATACTTCTTTTGGCAAATGAATACGCGATAAACGACAGCGCGTTGAAATCGTCCGTTTTTGACGTCTTGCAAGTCAAACGCTGTTAATTTACATACCGTCGAAGTAAACAATTTAATCAAGTATTTTAAGTATTTTACCTTTTGAGAAGAAGATATATTCTTGAATGGAGACTTTTTGCCTTGCTTAGTTTAAAATTGGTCCAAAAATCCCGAGATATTTGTAAAATATCATCATATACAGGTATTTTGAAATATAATATTGTTGTCAGTTGCATGACAACTTCAGATCATTGTTCAATATTGTCTACTTTTATTAATTGCGCAAACATACAAATCGATGAGCTCTTTAGGGATTTTATATTTTTTACTAAATTTCCCAAAATTAGAACTTCAATTGACAATTGTTGTTTTGTTCCAGTTTGCATTGATCCATATAATGTACCATTTAGTATTTACATATCGACTATTGAGTATAAATGTTTACGAATACATAAGTTAATTATTAAGCAACTGTTAATAGCGTGCGTGTGACATGAACATTTATCCATACAAGGATTTGTTATTTTATTATATATTCTACCACCTAAACTCAAATTATAGGCATATAGCAAATACTGTAGTTTAGAATAATGTGTGTTTACTTTGATGCACAGTTAAAATAATCAGTAAAATTACTTTATTTTGATACACTAATGTCTATTGATCTTATTATATTTCGCAAGTACTAGGACCCAAAAATACAGCATTGAGATATGTTGGCCAAGTGCGACACCACAAATTATTATTGTCTCCCCACACGTCGCGTTTAAAGAAAATGAAAGCTTGTTGCTCGTTTAACGCCGCATTAACCACGTGTCAAATACGGCAAATGCGGTGGGCCTCGCGCTTTACTGTGCTACGCCCATTTTTACGAGAACATGGCCATTTTCTATTGGGACACACCCATTTTAGGTGCCTCGCGAATTTAGGGACCTCGCGCATTAGGGCCCCTAGGCTTGGTAGTTCGCCCTAGCACGGCCCCGGGAAAATATGCAATACTCGTGTTCATATAATCTCTAGTTGCGTTGAGCTGTTATATTATGATCCTGTTTATACCCACCAACTGCGCCAGGCAGGCCATTATCTCGTTTATAATTGATGCAAATAAATTGCAATATTGAAAAAAATTATTTAACACTTTTGTGTGTCTTTAAATTCAATGGTTTTCATAAAAAGAAGAAAGGGGGAGGTTTGGGGGCCTCGCGATAAAATTTGCCCCGGGCCTCGCGCGACGTTAATCCGGCCCTGGTCACTTGTCGGTAGTTCTTGCGGTTTTAATGCCAATTGACAAAGATCAAAAGAGAGCACTGATGACTCCCCCCATCGGAGAAATACTGGCGCAGCCCAAAGCTCAGTGAAATATGGGACCCCAGGGCCAATTATACCCTTGGGGCCCCGGTTAACCACAATTACCCCCCTCCGTCGACAAACTTTTTATCGCCTTGCAAATTTGTATTTGCCTGTCTCCTTGAGCTGGGGTCGCGGAGAAAATTGCTCCCTTTGCCGCCTCCCTGCATGGGCGGCCCTGGCGTCGCCCTTGTCTTATCATAACTATCTACCCTAATTCAAGCTGATTGGCGCGGTTCGATGAATTAATTGCCGCTTTCAAACAGAGGTTTATTATTTTAAACCTCTAGAACCAGGGTACCTTTTGTCACTCTGAGGCCAGCGAAATAACCTCTTCCGCAACATGCACGTACGCGTCTACTATCGTCAAGAAACAATCAATACCGTTGTGGTCTGTGGGATTTTAATTCAATAGTATAAACCTTGCAGTTTTAGGGAAGCCTCACATATCGATTTTTTCCACAAGAAACGTCATATGTTCGTTTTGGGGGTGGGGGAGGGGGTTTACAGCTGTGACGTTTCTCTGTAAATATCATGGGAAAATTCGATAGTTTTTTCGAATACCTTAACATTTCGGAATCAACTTTGCAGAGTATAAAAAAGAAAACAACTTGAAAGAAAACGACTATTCAAATATAAGGGCTGGTAAACTAATAATAAAAACTCCTTATATGGATAAACATTATAAACGTTCATTCACCTGTACACGCACGCTAACAGCTGCTTAATAATTAACTTACGTATTTGTAAACATCACAAAATGGATCAAAACCTCTGAAAACAGCAGTGGTAGTTCCAATTCTTTTGGGGAATTTAGTAGCAAATATAATCCTTAAATAGCTCATCGATTTGTATATGTTAGCGCTAAAGTCAAACGACCGGGTCGTAGATCACGTTGAATAATGATCTGAAGTTATCATGCAACCGTCAACAATGTCTCAAAATACTGGATGTTTGATTTTTTTTTACAAATATACTGGGATTTCTGGACCACTTTTAAACTTAGCAAAGTGAAAAGTCCCCATTCAAGAATATGTTTTTTCTCAAAAGGTAAAATACTTAGAATACTTGATTAATTAAATTGTTTACTTCGACGGTGTATAAATTAACAGCGTTTGACTTGCAAGACGTCAAAAACGGAAGATTTCAACGCGCTGTCGTTTATCGCGTATTCATTTGCCAAAAGAAGTATTTACGTCAATTGAAAGCTTGTTTATTAAAGAGCCAACTAGTAGAAGCATGATCGATTTGGAGCTTTATCGCATGGTGAAAATCGATTTTGTTAAGAGGGTATCGCAAATGAAGTAAGATAGTGTGCTCCAAAACTACGATTATTTCTATTCCTAAAAGTAACTCAGATTTCCTGTAAGTCATGTACACAGTCCTTTGAATAACCGAAAACAAGATTTTTAGGGTTTTAGATCGATTAGAAACGGTTGTCGTCGTGAAATTTATCTGTAAAATCAGCGCATATTTTCCTAGAAAAAATGGCGATTTAGGGTGGTCATGTTAAAACGGCATTTTCTCAAAGTTAAAAAAGCATTTGACCTAAGAAAATATATGGTGCATTTTCCGATATGATAAGGTATATCTGGGCAAAATTTGAGCAAAATCGATTTTTCAGTCGTGGCCGCTTTATGTTTGATTTTTGTGGACATCCTCTCTTAAATTGTATGACTAACATCGGTTTCAAGTAACTGTATAACTGCATGTAGGTGCTATTAATGTGTTCTCATGTCCAGAAATCATGGACATGGTTTATTCTACTTCCTCCGCAATTTGCATATCACGTTGAAATATGGCTTCAACAGTAAACTGTGAATTAGCCATTTCCCAATCGAGTAGAGGACTGGGACTAGTTGATGTTTGCAGGGAAGTTTGGAGGGACAACAAGTTATAGTAAGAGCTAAATGTATATTAAAAGATGCCTTATTATAATTGTTGCGTTTCAGGCTGCACAAATAACTTTAAGAATGCAGGAAAACTTACTAGATGTCATATTCGGCATATTGTTTATTTTTTGTTTCTCTAAACAAGCGACTAGACCCAGTCCTCTGCTCGATTGTGAAATGGCTAATTATATACCGCGACGTTGTTAATCGCAAAATCTGAGAATAAAGTAAATCGTTTACACCTTGCCTCAATCACTGGCTGTAAAACATAGTCTGTTGAAGTATTTAGTGTAATGTGGACCTCATTTCAGTTACTCCCTCTTCTGCATTTTCAATATTTGTACGGAGGTTAGTTTTTTCGACATTTGTCTATTTAATTCTATATAAGAATACCATGCTACTGCCACTAGGAAAAAACGAAAATGCAGAAAAGCCAGCCGAACTTATGCCAGGGAAACATTACACTAAATGTTTCTGCAAACTATATTGTGCAACTAGCAATTGAGGGAAATTGCAAATGATCTTCCTGCGTGATTTAGCGATTTACAGAAATCGCGTAATATAATTTACTGTTTACTTCAGAAGCCATGTCACAGACCTTACACATGTCACAGAACTTAAATATAAAATTGAATCAACCGACGGTTTTGTCACGTATAAGATTTACCTTACTTTAACCGTTACAAATCACTCAAAATCATTTCGACTGCTAGGACAATAAAAAGGTATAAAAAACTAGAACAATGTATAAACGATACAATATTTTAGTTATAGAATGAGTAACATACGAAAATATCTTCAAAATCGCCTCAAATTTCGATAATACGAACCAATTTATTATGCCAAATTTGAACAAATTTAATCCCTAAAACTGAGGACATTTATGCATGGCCGAGCAATCTAGCCAATGTTCGCCAATTATAAGGTCCGCGACAGGCTATATTTCAACGGGTTGGAAATGCATCGATGCTTTATGCATCGATGATATGCAAATTAGTTAGGAAGTAGAATAATGTTCCCGATTTCTGCATACCATGTGAATATATGAAGAAATTTCGTGATGAAATTTTAAAAATAGTTAATACTATGTGAGATATTTGCATCGTAACGTTTGTTATTGTCAGCTACGGACAACAAAAAATGTGATTTCAAGTAATATTTATAATAATGTCAAATTGTGTTAGTTGTTATTAATTCAAATTGACCGTATAATAATCCCAAGAAATGTTCGTCATAGTTTCCAATGATTTTACTAACTGTAACATGCTATTGAATGAGCAAAAAAGTCTACAACGAACATTTAAAGTACACCGTCATGTTCACTTCAAAGAAAACCACTCATTGATGCATACAGTACATACAAGAGAGCATTTCCTAATATTGTATATACTGTACACATTGCTTGTAACGGCTGTTATTTTGAATCGGATGGGCGCTTTCGTAATCATAAATCACACAACGTTGTCTTTGGGTGTGCTGTAGAAGTGCCAGTTTGTGTCACCACACTTTCGTGTTGTGTTGAAAGAAAGGTGGAAAATAAGAAAAAGACACTCGGCCCATTTTAAGACACTGATCCTTTCGGAGCCTAGGAAGCCCACAGTCATAGACCAATTCATTGGGGGGCAATGATGCATCAAGCGAATGGTTTGTGTTGTCGTTTTGTTAACGTTTCATTATGAGGGCAAATTATGACGCCAGTACGGGTATACTACGGGGATACCCTGCACTGGGACAATCTTTCTCTGCGTCGCAAAAAGCTCAAAGCTGGTCTAATGTTTAAGACGCTAAAAGGAAATATGCCTTATTACCTCCAAGATATGTTTTCTTTCCGTGGCACTGGGTACAATATAAGAAATTCCGAAATACGGTTAAATTTGCCAGAGCCACGAAGGAATTACCTAAAACGAAACTTTTGCTATAGTCTTCCCCAAGATATAGATATATTTGGAATAGTCTTCCCCAAGATATAAGAAAACTACAATCATTTGCCCAATTTAGGAAAGCAATAGCGGAATATTATTAATATAGTAGCTAACTAGTAATTTACCTAGCTGACTTCCACACGGCAATCTTGTAAACCAGTTCATGGTATTTTTATATTTACAGTATTTAATTTATCATACTTACCATTTGTAAACTGAAAATTTTTACCGTGTTTAAATAAAATTGTATTGTATATCAAAACTGAATAGACTTTATATTGCAAGCGTGATTTTGGAAAAGGTCTCGTTCACGCTCAGCCGGGATCGTAGAAACAGGCCCTCAACTCAAAGGACAGACTGAACTCAGACTATTATTTGAATATCTATCTTGTTTTTTTATAGTAAAACAAATGTGTATTGAAAAATCATCCGAACAAGAACCTGTTGATTTCGAACCACTTTCAGAAAAAGGGTGGTATTGATCTCGTTAAAATGAGTCAGTATTGCCTTGATTTCGCTGATATCAATGAACAATCATAAACGCATCCTTTCCTTGTTTAGAACTAAGTAACCTCGATGGACAGCTACAAATGGACGAATTTCTGGTAGGACAATAATTTATTCCAGGAGTTTATTCATACAGGCCTAGGGCGGAGTACGGGCGTGATACGGATGCAGTCTAGGGCATAAGCCTTTGGGTGAAGTTTGAGTATAAAACAGATTTTAATATACATAGTTATTGTGGCTATATTTCGCAACGTTTTAGTGTGTATACAGTACAAACATATTAAATATATAGACTGTACGTAGAATATCACTCTGAGTACGTAATCAGAATTCATATTTTAGCAAATTCTGCGGTCAAAGACAATTATTTGTTATCGATAATGCATGTGCTTTTCATCACTTCGATGGGAAATAATCAAAATGAGAATATCTTTTGTCGATTACTTGACACCACCTAGAAACTCGTCAGGCATGATGAAAAGAGCCCTGATAATATTGAAGCACTAGTACCTTAAAGTTTACTCCATGCCTAAGATTATCCGAAATTTTATGTAGTCCTTGGTCGATAAAGACCTACCTCTGGATACATGGTTGGGAGTGGCTAAACGGATAGTTTTTACTGGGAAAATTATATCGGACACTTATAATTTTATAGAGTTATGTTCGAGCCACACCCAATTCTCCTTAAGTGAGAGAGTTAAATCTTCCATCAAAACATATTGAGAGAGTTAACATATATGTAACTCTCTGTTGTTATGCTTTTGAAGGGAGGAGAGAGTTGTCATCAGTGGAATTTTTATTTTAAAGTTAACGCCGCTCGTATTTTGAAAACTTTACAATTAGCGATAAGAACGTACGTTGTTGATTACTTCAAGAAGAAAGTAGCTGGACAGTAAGAATCAAAGTAAAAATGACTTTGATGTTTTCAATTGTTGTGGCGTAGAAAAGGAAACTACCGGTACAACTAACAAAGCGGCCTACATACTAGTATACGCCTACACTATTTCAAACAATTTTAAACTAATTAAACAGTTCAACTCACAGTTCGGATATATATATGGTCTAAGAAAGGTCATGTATTGCTCAAGTAACGGTATTCTTGCTCTTGGTTCAAATCAAAGTACAATAATAGCAACCAAGAGTTGTGAACTCTTGAATATGTGAACTTTCTCATAATTTGTTATGTTTTGACAAACCAGATTTATATCAAATTTAACTCTCGCTTGTTAGTTGAAAAGAAGCATCGGGAGAGTTTTATATAAACTTTATTTTGATGTTTTCCCCATGCAAAAGCCGAGCTTAGGTAGGGAGATCACATTGAGTATGGTCGCTGGAGAAAGTCGGTGTGGCTCGAACTAAACTCTCCGAAATCTTAACTATCCAATTTAATTCTTTCTCTGTAATCAGTGTAGTGATACCCTACATGTATGGAATGCCATGACTGCCTTAAGTCGATGATATTGTTTATATGCGGTGCATGTATCATTATATGCAGTGCTTCTATCATTATATGCAGTGCTTATATCATTATATGTGGTGCTTTTATCATTATATGCGGTGCTTATATCATTATATGCGGTGCTTATATCATTATATGCGGTGCTTATATCATTATATGCGGTGCTTATATCATTATATGCGGTGCTTATATCGTTATATGCGGTGCTTATATCATTATATGCGGTGCTTATATCATTATATGCTGTGCTTATATCATTATATGCGGTGCTTACTTTGTTGTGTAGTGCTTTGTTCGTTGTGTGGTGCTTTGTTCGTTGTGTGGTGCTTAGTTCGTTGTGTGGTGCTTAGTTCGTTGTGTGCTGCTTAGTTCGTTGTGTGGTGCTTAGTGCGTTGTGTGGTGCTTAGTTCGTTGTGTGGTGCTTAGTTCGTTGTGTGGTGCTTAGTGCGTTGTGTGGTGCATTATTAGACTTATTATGAATTTAACACAGACTGTTTTCTGTCGGTTTATTAATTCTTGTCAGATTAATTAAAAGAACATCTGGCAACGATCATGCAACATTTGGCTATTATTAATTCGGACTTTGTCATGGCAATAACACTTTTTTTGGTCGGGGAGGGGGGAAGGCTTCCGTAAATTGCCCCACATATACAAAATTTTCCTAGTAATGTTGGCGAGGGGAAAATTGGTGTATTCAAAAAATATTCTGAACTAACATAATTCCGATTACATTTTGCCTGTTTTGCCTTTTTCTTTCATTTCCTCTAAATTTGCCAAATTTTCATATATAAACTTCGAAATTTCTAATCGTGTTTTTGGGCCCATCTATAGTCCCTGCGCCTGCTTTTACGCAAAAATCGTTATGCAAATCGTTTGCAAAATTATAAGGTTCTAAAAAGAAAATTAAATTGTGTAAGTGGAAGCACTACTTTCGTTTTGCATTGTTTACTTGTTTTTAAAATATTCATTTATTCCAATATGTCTACCAGCCACGTGCCTGTTATAGAGAAAATATTGGGCGAAATAGGTTTGCAAGCTGCTATTGAACTCTTCAAGGCCGAGAAGATCGACGAAAAAATTGCAGTAACACTAAACGATGGAGAATTGATTCGTCTGGGGGTGGCAACAATCGGCGACAGAGCAAGATTTCGTCAGCTATGTCGCCAGCATGGTTCAGACCCTGTCGCACAAGTTCAAGGCCGTGAAGGTCAAGGAACTTCTTCTGGACTACAAACCCGTGCTTACAGGGAGCGAGCGCTTCTTTTTAACTCAAGAGGTTCGAGAAGATCTCAGTCTCTGCCTGCAAATGCTGCCAAGAAGAAAGAAAAGAAGCGGACTTGGACCACTACGTTTGTGTGCTTGGCGGATAGGCTCGCTGTCAAAGTTCCCTCGTCTTCAGAAAAGCAAATTTTGCAGAAAGCAGGACATGGTATTAAAAGAATAAAGTTCGAAGCCGACAATGACGAAAAAGCTGTTCTGGAAACTATTACTTCATCCGAAGTAAACAGTGAGACTTGCCAAACAATGGGATTTCCAAAACTGAAAGAATGTGGCGGTTTTGAGCTAATGAATTGTATAGCAAATTGCAGAAATCTAAGCACTCTTGATTGTGCATGGTCCGCAAAGAGCCTTAAAGCAAATATTGGTGGACAATCGCGTATATATTTGAGACCAATTCAAAAGGATCTGTGCACTGAACCTTTGACCGAGGAAACTCCTTGCGAAATCAAAGAAAAGTGCAACGTTTGTGGCCAAGATGTGTTGGTTCGGAATTTGCGCACACACGTTTATATGCGTTTCGAAGCGGAAATTATTCACAGCGGTTCTGAAAGTGAAGAAGGATTGCCAAGTTCTTACCAAGTGGATCCCCTTCCTCGACCAGAAGAGAGTTCAAGCAGTGCCAGTGCCAATCCAGGGGCAAGTTCAACTGCAGATTGGAAATTCAAAACTTTGACGTACAAGATGTCTCAGAAGAATCCGTTGAAAGTCTCATTTCTGAAATCGTAGAATATTGTAGATCAGAACAAATAGCTGATCCGGTCGAAATTCTGAGGTACTACCATATTAAATTTGTGCTTGGCAGAGCCCTTGACATTACCGATCCAGATGAAATCAGTGAAGGATTGACAAGTTAGATTTTAGTTGACAGAGGAAATATTTTGGCAACATCTTTTGATGAAATAAAAGAAATCTCGAACTTAAGGTTAACTCTGCATGTTAATTTCTATGGAGAGGTAACAGTAAACAGTATATATGAACATTTGAATAATATTACTATGAATCTACAGAATATGTAGATTTATTATTTTTGTTATTTTTGTTATTTTATTATTATGCCCCCCTCCATAAACGACCTCTCTAAAAAGCCCCTCCAAAGAAATTTGTTAAGCTTCACCCCTCCATAAGCAACCTCTCTAATAAGCCCCTCCTGCAAAGAAATTTGTTAGGCTTCACCGTCTTGTTAAATGTATTGATATTCCTTACACCATTTTGAAAATTATATCATTTTAAGGATAAATATTTAATAAGCCCCCTAATAAGCAACTTCCCAATTTCCCTTCGATATATATCGGTATAGGTTTTACCTGAAGAGGCTGCTACAACAGCCTGTTTCGTCCAAGAGGTATCATAATTCCTCCACAAGATCTCTTGTGGCAACTGTTTTAGGTAAAAACTCCATTATCTGCTCTATCTTTAAGATATTGAGCATTTTGTGAACCAACAGTGTTTCAATCATTTAGTGTGCAGACGACTATGGTTGGCCGCGGAAAGAATTCTTTCCCCTGGTTTTAATGCCTTTAAAAACAAGTACTTCGACAATGGTTTGAAAAACCACCTATCAGAAGAATATGAAGTTGTTGGTACCATCATGAGTTAGGTCTATAATAAGTGCTCTGAGTCACATATTAGCACAGGGGGTCCAACTAAGAGCTGTGTTATGAATATGAATAAAACATTAATTAAACGTAATATGAATAAAACATCATAACGTAATATATTTAAATTATTGCACTTACTTGTATAAATCATAAGAGCTTGTATTTGCAGTGAATAGCTTTTAACAGGGCGCTTATACACGCTCAGAAAATCGCTCAGAAACACTTGATTCGAACGATTGTTCAAATATGGCGAATAAATTGACAAAACAAAAATATTACATGACGTTCCAACGAAAATAACAGCAAGGATTGCGGGCGCGAGCGGAAGGCGAGGGTAATAGATATTAATAGAAGGGATGAAACACCGGTAATGCGATCGTGTGATGTGTTCCATAAGTAGCCTGTTCTCTCGGAAAATTCCAAAACGCCTCCTGCCAACTCCAACAACGCCTAAGCGCTTAATTAATGAAAATAAACAATGTTTAGCTATACCGGCTAATATGAAATGTTTAAATGTAGCGACCAACGGGTTTTTTTACATTATTTAGTTTTATTATTATTTCGTCATACGTCACGAGAACAGGCTACTTATGGAACACATCTCGCGATAATGGCCAAGAATGCTCGCTGTTATAAATCACATAAATTAGATTGATCAGTGCTTTTTTGGTAATGACTAGGCTTGTTCATGTAAGAGAACATCGACTGAGCCTTAAAACCCCCACAAAAAGCTTAAACGGGTAGTCTAGAAGCATTTTAAAAAGTCACGTGATATTTGTTTCATCCCTTCTATTTATTTCTTCCCTCGCCTTTTCGCTTGCTCGCGCGCCCGCAATCCTTGCTGTTACTTTCGATGGAACGTCATGTAATATTTTCGTTTTGTCAATTTATTCGCCATATTTGAACAATCGTTCGAATCAAAATGTTTCTGAGCGATTTTCTGAGCGTGTATAAGCGCCCTGTTAAAAGCTATTCACTGCAAATACAAGCTCTTATGATTTATACAAGTAAGTGCAATAGTTTAAATATATTACGTTATGATGTTTTATTCATATTACGTTTAATTAATGTTTTATTCATATTCATAACACAGCTCTTAGTTGGACCCCCTGTGATATTAGTGGCTACATTTACATATAAATTATGATGCCAATCTTTGTGATTATGTATTGACATGATGTGTGTTGTGATGTTGTAGAAATGTATGTATTTATAACCACATGACATAAATGTACTCTAGCATTAATCAGGCCCAGATTTTCGGGGGGGGGGGATGGGTGCACCCCCCAGAAATGTATTGCACCCCTTCAAATTATACATATTTTGATTTGATATTTTCCTATTTGGTTATTCTTATTACTAAATTTGTAAAATTACTAATATTATGGTCTCAGATGCTGCCATGCAGGCCTAAAAAACAAGTTTTGTTAATTTAAACATTTTCTTTGGCCTTTCTGGACGTTACCACCAGGGCCCGGCCAAAGCAAGCAGCAGCACCCCCAATACTTTATCCACCCCCCCCCCCCCAACGAAAATATGAAAATCCGTCTCAGGTTTTAATACAGTATAATTTTTGTAGGCCTTACCATTCTTCACAATGGGAAAATTCCGACATTTCTCAGTGATGAGGTGCTCAATGAATTATTTGGTGGCCAAGATCGACAGCTATGTATTACAAACATCAGAAATGGATTATCAAAATTAGGAATAATTCAGGTTATCTATTATGCACATTTTTAGGTATAGTTCATATAATAGCCAGCTACATTCGCCCTTCATATTAGCAAGCTGAGGATAAACTTTAGCTTTATTTCATCGAGATATATTTTCACAACAAAATATTCATTTTTCCGGGTACAAAACAATTACATTCAAACAATTTAGAGATCATTCTAGCCCTAACCCACTGAGGATTTAACCTTACTAGTGTGTTGAATTTACTCCTGCTACTTATACAAGTCGCAATCTAAGGGTATGTGCTATTTTTAGACTGTTGTAATCCCAGTGTATTCTATTGTGGTTATTAGAATGTTAGGGTTTGTAATCCAAGTGAGTATATATACATTTTAAGACCAGACCAGGAACGACTTCGAAAAATGCAGCACAAGGTCCTCTGGTACGAATTCAACCTACGGCCCTGCGATTCCGGTGCTGCGCTCTAACCGGCTCGCAGGGCGGTAGGTTCAATTCCTATCGAGGACCTCCTGCTGCATTTTTCGCAGTTGTTCCTGGTCAGGTCTTAAAATGTATATATACTCACTTGCATTACAAACCCTAACATTCTAATATTAATTCCACCAAGTAAAGTGCAAGAAAGAAATCATTGTATTCTATTGTGCTGCCTCATTTTTTACAACCTCCCTAAACAATGGATAGTTTGATACTGTTTGCATCTAGTACTTGTTATTGCATTTAGATTGTAGAGCAGTTACCTACCATGAAAAACCTATTCCATCACAAAGAAGAAGTGTTAACAGTGAAGAGAGTAATCAATATCTTCAAACCGACTTTCAGTGAAGAAGGATCAAATAATCGTATGCTGGAGAAATCTGTGTATGCAGTTTTTTTGAAATACATTCGAGAAGTTGCAAGTAAGATTATTCTGACAAATTATCTAATTATATGCATGTGTGCCTTCCGATACCCCCACTAAAAACAACAAAGAAATAAAAACAACAATCATGGACATGGTCATCATGCAGCTTCTTTTTATTTTTTAATTTTAGGTGGTAGAAGAGGCAGATTGTCACTTGCAAATATATTAGAGTTTGGTACTTGTGCTGACCAGGAGCCTATACTTGAAATTGACCCTGAAATTTTTTGAATTTACCACTACCTTCATCCCCACTGCCAATACATGTACCAATTGCATTAACCTCCCACGACCAACCGTAAATATACCACTTCCTGGTTCTGAGGAATTGTTTAATCTGTTTGACTACGCTTTCATGAACGCATATTTTGGAAATTTGTAGGTTCTTAATATTTTTTACATATTGAATCATGAACAAAGGACATTTTCTGTTTGAGTTTTGTTAATAAACTTTAATTCTATACCCTGTATAGTTTAATTAAAGTTAATTATTGTTTGTTTTATCAAAGAAAACATGTTATTTTGCGTTGTGGATTATGAAGATCGTTACAAATGGTAATGTCAAAGTGATTGTAATACCAGATAATGTCAACTCATTTTTTTGATTGAACAGTAGCATCGAGAGCATCTTCCTTTGTATTAGATCGAGATGTGAAAACAGAAGTTACAGAAAAAGTTCAGCTACAGTTAATTTAGAAACTTTAAAATTTAAAATAACTGTACAACAATCAAGCATTCATTCATTCCCAAAGTCATTTGATTGCTACCCAAAAATCTGTATAATATCTACACAACAATTGACATACTTTTTGCAACTGCCTTATTCAACTATTATTTGAATAATGCTGAATTATGTCAATAGCTCTTAAATATAAATCAATGCCATATGGTTAGCTGATGGGCATAGATCTGGAATGTCTCCTACTAGCTAAGATATACAATTTTCACTCAACTCTATTTGTGGAGCATTCAAAATGGGCCTTTCATTATCTTCTGTTTCAAACAAAATTCCTTCTATGCCATAGTTAGCTACTTCGTCTTCGGTGGCTGTTTCGGAAAGGCCAACAGGATTTTGCATTTGGCTTGACAGACACAAACGCAGAGGGATTGTTCTTGTCGTGCCCATTCTATGATTTGCCCATGCTGTCATCCATAATTCCAACTTTTTATTGATTCTTGGTAGAAATACATGGTGCAAAGCTGCGATGCAGATTGGGTTAAGTGGGTCCACAACACCCTCATCCTCGAGAAAATGAAATAGTTCATAATAATATGACATTACACCAGTAGGTTGTGGGTGCTCTTTCCAGTTATCATACTGCATCGGTGAGCTCCTCTTTTCTCGATCATTTAGTCAGCAATGAGCACGTTTTCCAAGCCTTTATCCGAACGGACTCTGCTCGGAAGACCAAACTTGTTAACAGCTCCAGTGAAGAATTGAAGCAATGTTGTAGCTTTATTATCGTTAGAACAAGACAGTGCAACAGGTAATAGGCTAAATCCACCAATGGCCCCCAAAACAACCATGTGCTACCGAATCAGCTCGTGATTTGTATCGACATGCCATAAATGATTTGTTCCTTTAACACTAAAGACAAGCCGATGCAAACGACCCCTCGACCTGCAAAGAATTCGAGCTTCGTCAACTCTATGCAGGCTTTCGCGAAGGCGAAATCTTTGAACTATAACACCTTTACCATGCAACAGATCGCCTATCATATTCTCACCAGTTAGGAAAATCCTTAGTCAACTGTCCAACTAGTTTGTCTAGTGCATGATCACTGAGTGTTGAAAATGTGTGCCTTCTCAAACCGTGTGAAGCCATACGACGGTATACGGTTCTCTCGGAGACAGACAATAGTAAAGATATCTCCTTAATAGAAAACCCATCCAGCAAAAGTTCCTCGATTACATTTTTGGGTAAGTCGTATTTTGGTGCCCCAGCCTCATGGTATATCTTTGTTGGAGGTTGGCATCCGTAATTTACACATTCATTTCTCAACAACACCATCTCATTCCTGCATCTTACACCCAAACAATGTAAGTCATGTGAAGACAGTATTCCCACAATATTTGGGGTTATTTTTCTCGAATAAAATGTTCCACAAGGTAACCAAATTCAATTTCTTCAAGATGTTCGATATATCAGAGTCTGTCGTCATTTTTTATTTGTTCATTTGGCGCGTTATGGGCGATACTTCATGTATGAAGCGTCGAATGACGAACTAAGCTCCGCCCACCGAACAAAGCACCACACAACGAACAAAGCAACACACAACGAACTAAGCACCACACAACGAACAATGCACCACACAACGAACAAAGCACCACACAACGAACTAAGCACCACACAACGAACTAAGCACCACACAACGAACTAAGCACCACTCAACGAACAAAGCACCACACAACGAACAAAGCACTGCACAACAAAGTAAGCACCGCATTTAGTGATATAAGCACCGCATATAACGATATAAGCACCGCATATAATGATATAAGCACCGCATATAAATTATATAAGCACCGCATATAATGATAAAAGCACCACATATAATGATATAAGCACTGCATGTAATGATAGAAGCACTGCATACAATGATACATGCACCGCATATAAACAATATGATCGACTTAGGGCATTCCATAATGTCCGCATCTACGTTCCTACTTGACTGAGATAATCCATGCAGCTTGGTCACGCGGTGTTGTTCCATCTGAATGAAAAAAAGCAGCATGCACAATATTAATTCACAAGAAAGGAGAAACAAACGACCCAGCAAACGTTCGACCAATTACTCTTGAATCCATCCCGCTTAATTTAATGTCTTCACATCATGTCTTCGAACTAAAACATTTGAATTCCTGTCAGACAATAATTACATCGAACAAAACATCCAGAAAGGTTTCACTCCAAAACTCTCAGGAACAGTAGAACATACTGCTCAGATGGCACATATAATTAACACAGCGCGTACCAAGCAACGATCTATAGTTATTACATTACTCAATCTTAAAAATGCATTTGGCGAAGTCCGTCATGACCTCATTTACGAAGTCCTTGATTATCATCACGTTCCTAATCACATGAAGAACCTTATCTGCAGTCTTTACACTCATTTCCAAACTTCCATCATAACCGAACAGTTTAACACCCCCATCATTACAGTCGGTCGTGGCGTTCTTCAAGGCGATTGTCTCAGTCCACTTTTATTCAACATGTCATTCAGTACTTTCATACAACAAATTAAATCTGAAAAATACCGTCAGCTTGGATTTTGGAAATTAAGTGAAATTGGAATTCCGTGCAATCCTATACATTAGTTTCAGTTTGCAGACGATGCTGCTGTCATCAGTAGCCAAGAGAAGGAAAATCAAATGCTCCTTAATCGTTTTACAATTTCGTGTCAATGGCTAATATGATTATACGCATTGACAAATGTTCAACATTTGGCATTAAAAAACAGTTAAATAAATCTATCCAGTATTTACCCAGGCTTTTCGTTAATAACCATCTTGCACCCAGAACCGAAATGGGCAAATCTTTCCGTTACTTAGGTCGTTATTTTGATTTCAATATGTCTGATTAGGAACACAAATCAGAATTACTCGACGTGTTTAATGACATCACGAACAATATTAATGAACTACCCTTACACACGAAAAATACAATTCTACTATACAGTCGTTACTTGCTGTCAAAGATATCCTGGGACTTTACTGTTTCTGATATATCTAAGACCTGGATCTGCGAAACGTTAGACAGTACTGCGACAAAATATATCCGAAAATGGCCGGAACTTCCTGTCTCTGCAACCCTTAGCAACGTGTTGCTACCACAAAATAAACTTGGTCTGAATATTATTCTCCCTTCGACAAAATTTATCCAATGTCAGACTGTCTCTCGATCAGGTCTAAAATACTCACCAAACGTAGATATTAAGAATCTATGGGCCGTGACGAACACCAACAAGAACGTACAGTATGACATTTACAAACTAAGACACAAAAGACGTACTTAAGGCAGTTAAAAAAGAAAACGAACAAAGACTTCAAAACCACCTCATTTCGCAAGGTTCTTTCTTTTCCAGTATCAAGAATCATTCCACATCCACATTCAACTCGTTATGGTCATCCGTTCAGAGCAAACTTCCGAAAAACATTTTTAACTTCACCATCCGATATATCAGTAACACACTTCCAACACGAAAGAACCTATCACTATGGGAACTATCATCAACATCCGATTGCTCTTTCTGCTCCTCACCTGAAACGCTGCTCCATATGATTGCTGGATGTAAGACATATTTAGACGAAGGCCGGTTTACATGGCGACACGATTCTGTTTTAAATTTCCTCGCATCCACTCTTACTGCTGTGAAAAATTCCACACTTTACGCGGACATTCCTGGTTTTATGAATCCATCAGTTATCACGGGAGATCGTTTACGACCTGACCTTCTGCTGGTGACTGAAAACAGATGTCTATACATCCTCGAGCTTACAGTCGGTTATGAATCCAATCTGCAAATTAACGCCAATCGTAAGCGTCAAAAGTACCGTGATCTAATCAATGAGGAGGAAGCAGATTATGATAAAGTCAAGTTCGTCAATTTATCCTTGAGTACCCTTGGAGTTTTTGGCCGATCTTCTGAAAATTTCAATGGCATGTTAAGTAGCCTTAAATGTGATGCCAAGTATAGTAAATACATAAAGAGAAAATCGTGAACATATGCATACGAACATCATATTATATATTTTGTAAACGAAACAAGGTGTGGGATAACCCAAAATTAATGTTAATATAATCCTTCTTAAAATAATTATTGTACAATAAATATATAGTATCAATTCAAGTAGACATTGATGAACTACCTGTAAAGCGAGTTTAATCATTGTAGTTGTATATATCTTAATAATCAATAAATAAAGTTTCCATTACTATAATTATAATAATTATTATTATTATTATTATTATTATTAATGGCTTGATATACCTATATCTGGAAGCTAAACACTGTTTTCCTAACCCGCAACAAGTTTGGCCTCAGTATTTGTCCCCCATCTGTCATATTTATTCAATGTCAAACTGTTCTCCGTAAAGCCCTAAAAACATCCCCAAACGAAGCAATTAACGATCTTTGGAAAGCAACTAGCAACAGCAAAAATATACAGTATGACATTTGTAACTCCACTAAGCACGTTCTTAAGGAGTTTCGCTCTGGACAAGAGGATAAACTGCATACTCAATAAACCTGTCAAGGCTCTTTCTTCACTAATATAACAAAGTTTTCACTATCCCAACTCACTAAAATTTGGTCTGCGTGCCAATCGAACCTTCCGAAAAATATATTCAACTTTACAGTTCGATACATCAATAACTCCATTTCAACGCGCCAAAACCTTGCAAGATCGGGTTTATCACCGACTTCAGACTGTTCGCGATGTCTAGCTCCTGAAACACTTCTGCACGTAGTAGCTGGTTGCCAATCGTATCTAGAACGATTCACGTGGAGACATGACTCCGTTTTAAACTTTCTCGCAACAAACCTGCAGACCGTAAGCGGCTCACATCTTTACGTGGATCTTCCAGGGTACAAATGTCCATCAATCATCACTGGTGACACCTACCGTCCAGATTTGCTTCTTTCAACCTCAACCAGAACACTCTATATTGTTGAACTTACAGTTGCCTTCGAATCAAATCTTCAAAAAAACGTTGAGCGAAAAAAATCAAAATATAAAGAATTAATTAGGGAACAAAATGAACATTTCAACTCAGTAAAATTTGTAAATCTTTCGATTAGTTCTCTTGGTGTTTTCAGTAAAGAATGTTCTACTTTCATAGAAATGCTTAAGATTCTGGTTTTCAAAAGCAACATCAGAATTACTGTATTAGAAAAATGACGATGATTACAATCCGAACAACGTATTATATGTTTTGTTGTCGAAACAAGGAATGGATGAATCCGGAACTGTTATGTGTTTAAACATTGTATTGTCATTTTGTTATCTTAATAGTATAATTGTTGCATATATAATCAGTGATTTAAGAATTTATGAATTCCAAACAACAACCCGCCACGATTTGTACAATAGTCAACATGAAATTCCTGGAGCACTCGACCACAACGAAGATAATGCAATTACTCGGGCTGTCTTCCGGAGTATAATAATGTAAATAAACCACCTATGAATAATTGGGGGAAGCGAGGCGATGGACGAACAATAGTTATATCGACTTCAGACATTACAGATGCATATGATGAAATTACAACTTGGAAAAAGAATGTTTTTCTAGTGCCATACGGGAAAATAGGAAGGGATTTTATCGATCAGATAACGATGCATATAAACGACTGGAATAGCGGTTCGGAAAATCAACATGTTTCCCTAAAAGCTGTTTTTGTACTTCTCGCCGTTGGGCTTCAAAAGCCAAACCCGAAGTCCAAGGCAAGGGACCATCAAGATGCCTTGTCAAAGCGACTTGCACTTTGGAAGGACGGTGAGATCAGTAAGCTAATACGTGAGGGACGAATCATACAAAGTCGTATTGGAAAATTTAAAGGATCAAACCACCCTGATAAAGCTAAAGTATTTGCTAAGCTTGTGCTAGAAGGTCAAATAAACTCCGCCCTTCGCTTCCTGAGTGAAACCTCAAATGGCGGCGTGTTAACGTTAACTGATGATGTAATGACGCAATTAAAACAGAAGCATCCTGAGCCACAACCACCAAAACTAGGATCGGTATTATTTGGTCCGCTTAATGACGAGATACCCGAATCTGTTTACTCTCAGATCAATGGTGAGATCGCTAGACAAGCTGCTTTGAGAACAAAGGGATCCGGAGGCCCCTCTGGTGTCGATGCTAACGGCTTTAGAAGAATGTTGGCATGTAAGTGCTTTAAGCAATCATCTACCCGACTGTACGAAGCTCTAGCCAGAATGACCAAGACTTTGTGTACACAATATATCGACCCTACCACTATTGAAGCATTGATTGCTAGCCGTTTAATTCCCCTAGACAAAGGCGAAGGTGCGGTAAGACCTATCGGAGTAGGAGAGGTAATCCCCGAGCCGGCGGCGCGAAGCGCCGTGCGAGGGTACTAATTCCCCCCGGCTATTTACACCCGGGGAAACGAAAGCATTAGCCAAGTCTAAAGTTCCTCAAATATCGCGGGCGTGACCAACGAACCTTGAGTGGGTGGTCATCCTCACTGATCTCAAAAATATGGCGGACTGTAATGGATAGCGAACACTGATTGGTCAAATTTAAAATTTGTTGTTGTATGACAAATGACGACTTCAACTGACAGACACTTCATGAAAATAATTTGCTTTTTACACTACAGTATTTTGTACGTTTGTAAAAACTTTGACAACTTTCAAGGCAATTTGTTCAATAAAAAGTTTAATAAAACAATGACGGTATCAAATGCCAAATGAAAAGATATGGAGCCAAATGAAGAGCGGCAAGGAAACGACAAGAAAGCGGAACGTCTAGCGAAAACGAGGAAGCGAAGACGACAACGTTTGCTCGAGGAGACTGCTGAGGAAAGAGAAGCTCGCCTGGGAAAGCGTAGAGAATCATTGAAAAAAAAAAGACTGCTGAAGCAAAAGGTAAGCAAAGGCTTGTCTGCACAACGCTATGTACCAATGATAATGTAGCTATACAAGTTGAAGTATGACATTCAACCCTCTATATTCGACTATTTCTTCACAATTTTCCAATAAAGAGTTTGTCATGACACGCTCAAGTCAGTATAACCAGACTGTATTTTATTTATATCAGTTATCACAGCCACAGGCAATTTTATGCTGTCAAATACCGTCGGTTGCAACTAAGGGTGAACAGTTGCAGATAAAACATTCTCTATTCTCATTAAAAAGCCTGTAAAAGTTTCCAGTAGATCTCTAGCCCAACACGTTCAGACCACACAAAGTTCTGTTACTTATTGTACACATGGGAAACAACAATTAAGTGTTGTTGTTGTTGACAAACATTGAAGATTCTAATCACGCGAATGCTTTTATGGGCTACTGTTCATCGTTAGTTTGCAAGCGACAGTTCAACATACTATGAACATTTTTCCAACCGTGACCGATTGTGCAACGATATATTTTTCAAAGTTGTTATCAATTCCTAAAATTTGTTTATAGTAAAACGGCCTGCTCAGCACTCACTACTCACGATGATTTCATTTAGAAATGCAGTTACCAGGAAACGAACTGATTCTAAAATATGTAAATTTAAAAGCATTGGCTAACAGAATAAGGCGATGTGAAGACCAGGTACAAACTTTTATAGTTGCTATTTGTTATAAAAACCTATAAATAAACCAATGCCAAATCCAAGTGTGCCCATCCCCCTCCCCCGGCTACTTTCCTGTAAAGCACATCCCGGTGGTTGGGCATTTTCACTCAAACCTTAGCCCCGGCTGGGCATTTGAAATTAATAATTTGGATTCTTGCACTTCACTTGTGGAATTAATATTAGAATGTTAGGGTTTGTAATCCAAGTGAGAATATATACATGTATATATTTTGTAATCCAAGTGAGAATATTTTGTAATCCAAGTGAGAATATACAAATGTATAGTACATGTATATATTTGGTGTATATATTTTGTAATCCAAATCAGAATAGTTTGTAATCAAAGTGAGAATATACAAATGTATATATTCGCACTTGGATTACAAAACCTAACATTCTAATATTAATTCCAACAAGTGAAGTGCAAGAATCCAAATTATTGAAGTCCACCTTATCACAACCCGCACACCCGATTACCTAAATATACATGAACTTATGGTTAAGGCTCTACAGCTGGCCTCTATAGCTCAGTTGGTTAGAGCGCTGCGCACCGGAATCGCAGGGCCGTAGGTTCAATTGCTACAAGAGGACCTTGTGCTGCATTTTGCGCAGTCGTTCCTGGTTAGGTCTTAAAATGTATATATTCTCACTTGGATTACAAACCCTAACATTCTAACATTTGAAATTAAGGATTTGGAGGTTTTGCGATCACTGATAACTTGATAATAATATAAAACAAAACACTTCTATCTGTAACTTTTACAATCAGTGATAACTTGATAATAATTTAAACCAGCCAAGTTGTAGTTTAAATAGATAATAATACATGGGTGCACGAAATACCAGATTTATTTCGAGTGTTGAACATGACTAGTGTGCAGCGAACAAGTGAGCGCAGCGAACGAGTGAGATCATGTTCAACCCGAAAAATAAATCTGGTATTTCCAACCACCCATGTATTTTTCTGTTTATTATATAAAGGACAGTCTTAAATGAAATGCGATAATTTTTACACAAAAGCCATAATTGAAAAGGCGATAATTTTCACATGTGAGATTATCATGAATAATTTCACATGTGAGATTATCATTTTTATCAGTGCTCGAAATCTCTGTAAAACACTATACTTTATATAATAAAAATTCATAAATTTGAACCATGCTATAAAGCATGACAACAGCAAAATGCTCTATAGTATGATGCACAATATTTTGGGAGGTGAAATACACGAACAATAAATCAGAGAGTGTTTGCTTGGAACTCACTTGGGGGGGGGGGGGGGGGGCAACACCCCTGATAATTGCTCATGAGGAATTTCAGGTAGATTTCCAGTGCACTTTTAGGTAAATTTAAGTAGATTTGCAGAAGATTTTCAGGGGAATTCAGGTAATTCTCAGGACATGAGAAAGTGAATTTGGAAAAGAACTGTATTTTCGGAAAAATTATTATATGTCCTAAAAATTTTTTGTACATCTGAAAGCATTTTGGTAGGCGCTAGGTTCACGAGAGTATCTGGAGGAATATGTTAATGAGAAGGTCTCTAATTGGGTCAACGAAGTGACAGCATTAGCCGAATTTGCACTGTCCCAACCACAAGCGTCCTATGCCGCATACACATTTGGTTGGAAACATCGTCGGACCTACATCCTAAGAACCCTGCCAGACATCCAGGACCTACTAGAGCCACTCGAAAAGCTATATCGCAGATTCTCATCCCCGCTATCACAGATCACCAGTGCAATCCACTCGATCGGGACATTCTAGCGCTTCCAGCACGTCGGGGTGGCCTGGGCTTGGAAAATCCAAGTCATGAGGCAGAACGTCAGTATGTGTTGTCAAAAAGAGTTACAGCACCCCTTGTTGATCAGATTGTAGCGCAGTTGCATCAGCTACCCGACGAGTCCCATATAAAATCCGCGCAACAAGCCGTTAGACAAGAAAGAGTGCAAGAGTGGGAGGAGAGGGCAGAACGTATTACAGAGAGTGCACCACCAAGAATTCAGCGTATAGTAGATGTGGCTTCGGAAAAAGGATCACCTGTGCGGCTCACAGCACTTCCCCTAAAAGAACAGGGATTCAACTTGAATAAGAGAGAATTTTGTGACGCCGTAAAGCTGCGCTATGATTGGCCAATCGACGACATCCCCTCCAAATGTGTATGTGGGGATACCTTCACGGTCGACCATGCCATGATCTGCAAACATGGAGGCTTTGTAACTATGCGCCACAATGAGTTTAGAGATCTGGAAGCGGAACTCCTCAACATTGTCTGTAGTGACGTCCAAGTTGAGCCTGTCCTACAAGACATCTTGGGAGAGCAACTAAATGGAGGCTCCAACAGAGCACCTGATGCTAGACTCGACATTCGTGCGCGTGGGTTCTGGGAAAGTCAACGATCAACCTTTTTTGATGTAAGGGTTTGTCATCCCAATGCTGATTCGTACAAGGACCTGGAGCTACGCCAAGTCTACAAGATACACGAAAACGAGAAGAAGCGCCTATATGCAAGGAAAGTCCTCGGAATGGAGCAAGGAACATTTACGCCACTCGCATTCACCACCACAGGTGGTATGGGCAAAGAATGTGTGAGATACCATAGTCGATTGGCTGAGTTGGTAGCCATGAAGAAAGGCGAAGGTTATGCGACAACTATGAGTTGGATAAGAGCCAGAACCTCATTCGCTTTATTGAGATCGACACTTACCTGCTTGAGGGGTTCAAGGGCAAGGAAAATCATGTACGATATTAAGAACATTGATTTCAACATTGAGAACGCCGAGAGTGCTATCTCTCAAACATTTTAGATTGTACATATACAAAGTTTAGTTGTTTAGTTATTTAGCGGAATATGTTAGTTTAGTTATTTAGCTACTTAGCGGTAAATATTTTAATTATGTAGCGGTATATGTTCCAGAGTTTGTTTTTAAAATTTAACTGTACATATCAACAAACATTTAGACACTTTTTTAATTATACCCAAAGAACAGATTATATAATATAGTCATTGATAACAAAAGCATTGTTGTATATAATGAAATGATGAATAAAGTTGTAATTATTAAAAAATATATATATATATATATATATATATATATATATATATATATATATATATATATATATATATATATATATATATATATATATATATATATATATATATATATATATATATATATATATATATATATATATTATTATTATTATTATTATTATTATTATTATTATTATTATGATTATTATTATTATTATTACCTAAATTAGTGAGATTTATAATTGTATATATACGTATACAATTTCAATAAAATTTCCATTATTATTATTATTATTATTATTATTATTATTATTATTATTATTATTATTATTATTATTATTATTATTATTATTATATAATATAATATGTTATAAAATAAATATGTTATAAAATAAATATGTTATGTTATAATATAATATGTTATATAATATGTTATATATGTTATAATATGTTATATAATATAAAAGTGTTTACTTATTGTCTCCGGAATGCTATGTTCTCGTTCCTAACTGCTAATAACTTTATTGAACATCAGATTAAAAAAGGTTTCACTCCCAATCTGTCTGGCACTCTGGAACACACTGCTCAAATGACAAATATTATCAACCAAGCGAGAATAAATCAGCGCTCTGTTGTCATCACCCTTCTCGATCTCAAGAATGCTTTTGGTGAAGTGCATCATAATCTAATTCAATCTGTCCTCGACTATCATCACATTCCCAAAGACGTTAGTGAAATAATAAGGAGCTTGTATACGGACTTCAATACTGCATTTATAACATCAGAATTCTCCACCGCATTTATAACTGTCGGTCGTGGAGTTATTCAAGGAGACTGTCTTAGTCCTCTGATTTTTAAAATGTGCATCAATACCTTTATTCAACATATAACAACTGACAAATAACGGCAATTTGGTTTCATTACAAATCTTTTAAACCCAGTCCATTGGTTTCAGTTTGCTGATGATGCTGCGGTAATAAGCGGTCAAGATTCAGAAAATCAACATCTTTTAAATCGATTCTCGATCTGGTGCCAGTGGTCTAACATGATTGTCAGGGTTGATAAGTGTTTAACATTTGGGATCAGGAAAAGTCTCACAAAATCTATCCAATATTTACCTAAACTTCTGATTAACAATGAATTGATACCTGCCACTAAAATTGGAGAGTCGTTTCGATGCTTGGGGAAATATTTTGACTTCAGTATGTCCGAAAAAGAACACAAACAAGAGCTAATCACTCTCATGGACGACATTATGTCTGAAATTGATCTCAAACCTTTGCACCCAAAAAATAAACTTTTGCTTTATAGTCGTTACCTCCTATCCAAACTTTCCTGGCATTTCACTGTAACCACCTTATCAAAAATCTGGGTCTCTGAAAATATGGATTCTGTTGTGAACAAGTACGTACGTAAATGGCTTGAAATACCTATATCAGGAACTCTATCTAACGTCTACCTTACCAGTAACAAGTTTGGTCTAAATATCTACCCGCCGTCAATTAAGTTTGTTCAGTGCCAAACAGTTGCTCGTAACGCCTTAAAGACCTCTCCAAATCATTCCATAAAAGACCTCTGGAAAACAACATCTGAAAGCAAAAACATTCAGTACGACGTCTACACCTCGACAAAGGAAGTCCTTAAAACTTTTACCTCCGGACAAGAAGACAAACTGCAGAATCATTTGATTTTGCAAGGCTCCTTCTTCTCAAATGTCATTAAGTTTTCACTGTCGAAATTAAACGGTATATGGTCTAAATCCCAATCAAACCTCCCAAAGAACATCTATAACTTCACCATTCGTTACATTAATAACTCACTTCCAACTCGTAAAAACCTTACTAAATGGGGAATATTGTCCAACTCTGATTGCTCCTTCTGCTTAAACCCTGAAACCCTTTTACACGTAGTTGCTGGATGTCAAACGTACCTCCCACGATTTACATGGAGACATGATTCTGTTCTGAACTTCATAGCACAAACGCTACAACCTGTAAACAACTCCACTCTTTTCGTCGATCTTCCTGGTTATAAAAGCCCATCAATTGTAACTGGTGACACATTCCGCCCAGACCTACTTCTATCTATCAACTCGGATTGTCTCTATATCCTTGAACTTTCTGTTGGCTATGAGTCTAATCTACAAACAAATGTTGATCGGAAAAGAAGAAGATACGAAGATCTCATTACACAGCAAAAGAAACAATTTAAGTCCGTAAAATTTGTAAATTTTTCAATTAGTTCTTTAGGCGTTTTCTCAAAAGATTGTCATTCCTTTTTAGATATGTTAACTGATCTAGGTCTTGATAAAAGACACCAGTATTTCGCTATCAGGAAAATTATGTCTATCGCGATTAGGACAACATATTATATATTTTGTTGCAGAGATAAGGACTGGTTAAATCCGGAATTACTGAACATTTAAGGATACTCATTATTAATATATAAATATTAAGCAGGTTCAAGTAGTCAATTATAAATTACCTAAATTAGTGAGATTTATAATTGTATATATACGTATATAATTTCAATAAAGTTTCCATTATTATTATACAAAAAAACGATTTGCAGCTACAAAGCTGAATTGCTCGGTTTACATTAATGTTCTAAAAATACAGTTTGTAGAATTACAAGTTAAAGACTAATCATTAAAGTATGATTATATATATTATATAGTTTATTAAGACTTATAGGTATTAAAACATACTACACTACTTGGTATATAACTGTTTTTAAAACGGTTGGTACAAGACCAAATGTCTGTAAAATTGTCGTTATTTCTAAGATTGTTAGTTCGTTTGTCAGGGAGAAGATCGTACAATTTATGACTTGGTTTAGTTATTCTTTTAAAGTGTGATCTGCAAAGTTCATCTCGTCTTTGTGACGGACTTGGAAGCGGGAAAACTTCCAAGGCCTTCCTGTAAGATAGGTTAGGATGAATTATTCTTAGTGCTCGCTTTTGAACCCAATCGACGTCATCAGAAAGGTATTGGGAAGCACCAAAGTTCCATAACTGGCAACCGTATTCGAGGACTGATCTTATGCAGGTAGTATAGACGGTTAAAAGGGACGTATGATCAAGTCCAGCCCGTTTTAATATGCGTAAAAAATATAGGCGCTTAGAAGCCTTGGATACAATATAGTTTATGTGTGTGTTCCATTTCAAATCTGCGGAAATATAAGTGCCTAGGATTTTTGCCGAAGATACAGGAACTAGTTTGTGATTGTTTACGAAGATTGGGTCCAGTTTTGGAGGATCTTTCGCAAACGAGATAATCATATCTTTGCACTTAGATTGATTAAGTTTCATGTCATTCTTTATACACCAGCTGTTTATCGCATTAACAAGGGATTGCATCTTCCCTTGCTCACATTTATTAATAACTTTAGAGACACTTGTATTATCCACAAATTTCCACCTTCGATCATGCTCAGTAACCAAGTCATTTATCATAATTAAGAAAAGTATAGGACCGAGCACTGTTCCTTGGGGTACCCCACCGTTTACTGCAGATCAATCTGAAAATACGTTACCCATTTTAATCCGCTGTCGCCTTCCGGACAAAAAGTCAATTACCCAATTGATAACGAATGCGTTTATATCCAATTTGCGCATCTTTGTGATTAGTATCTTATAGTTAATCCGATCGAAAGCCTTGCTGGAGTCCAGTAGGAATAAACTCACAGTTTTACCATTTCCATCTGAGTCAGCGTATAGGGAGTGGAGTAAGCTAATTAAGGCATCAACTGAAGAGGAACCGGGAATTGCTCCGAACTGTTTTGGATCGAGTTTCTGGCAGATGCTATCACGGATCCATTCTGCATTAAATGACTCTAAAACTTTAGATAACGTAGCGGTGAGAGATATTGGTCTGAGGTCATTGTTAATATCCTGTACTGGGTGGGTCTTTGGAATAGGGATAATGTCAGCCGCTTTCCATTGTGAAGGTACTTGAGCTTGGGCAATGGAGGCATTAAAGATAGATGCCACTGGTGTAGCAAGTTCAGCCGAGAATTATTTTAGTAGTCAATTAGGTATACTATCAGCGCCTGGCGCTTTTAATAATTTAACTTTTTCTAAGCGACGTTCAATTAGTTCGACTGGGATGTGGTATTCGCAAGGCGTTATAAGGAATTGTTTATCGAATTCGGAAAGAGGGGGCATAGACTTGTTAACAGCAACAAACGATTCACTGATAGCGTTTGCTAGGTTTTTACCAGTAATTAATACTTCATGTTGAAACAATGTTTTGAAAATAAAGGCAGGGTGTTGTTGCATGTTTATATATTTCGACTATGAACTTAAATTATAAGTATATTTCCGTGTCCACATCTCCGTATGTCCGCGTGTCCTTGTGTCCGCGTATTCCACCTAACCCAATAACCCTTATTATTTGCCATTGTTGAAAGATTGTTTGGACTGATGACGCACACGTAGGTTTCATGTTGCAAACTGTGGCGCAGTCATACAAGACATTAGACGTGTTTCCTTTTGGACAATATATTAGTCATTGACGTGCACAGTGAAGCAGGACAAAATTCAGGTCAAATTGATCCTAGTTTATAACCGAACAAAGTTGTGTGTTCGAGGTAACAAGGTAGGCGATTTTGTGTTTCCTATTGTAGAACATTTCTTTAGGTACA